TGGGAGCCGACTTCCCCCCCGACGTGTGGTACCCGGGCGGGATGGTGGGCCGGGTGCCCTACGCCGCGCCGCCCGCCTGCATCAAGACCGAGCTGACGCCGTGGATGGAGGGCTACGCGGGCGCCTACGGAGACGTGAGGTGAGGAGCCGGCGCCCCCGAGGGAGGGCATGCCCCCGGGCGGGAGCGCCCACGAGGAGCCACTGCCTCAGCCCCGAGGGCTCTTGCTCTTCTGGCCTGGCTCACAGGGCTGCTGCCGGGCGGGACACGAGGGGGGGTAGGCCCTGGGCAGAGAGGGGATGCTGGAAGGCAGAGGCAGCTGGGTCTGATCAGGGGCAACCCTCACCCCCCTTCTGGCTTGCAGCCTCCAGCACTTCAGGTCTAGGAAGCCAGAAGTCTTCCTCACACTTAGCCCCAGCTGCGTGTGCCTCGCGGGCGATGCCATGCTGGCCTTTCTGCGCCAACCAGAAGCCCGTGGAGCCCTTGCTTGGAGCTTTCCTGCCTTTTTTCCTTTTTTTTTTTTTAACTTCTCTTTAAATGACTTATGCATCTGTTTCCAGCACGCTCACTGCCCCGGGGCTAGGAACATGGGGCCGGCCAGGTCCATACGCTTTTAGCAACTGGCTAATCTTAAATTTCAGATTGAAAAAAAAAAATCTTCAGAGTGCCCATCTCCTTGGCCAGTGGAACAAATAGCTGATGAAGGTGCTGGAACAAATGAAAGTGAAGTGAATTTGTTGAAGTAAAAGTGCTTCCAGTCAATTTGAACGCGGGTCTTTCTCACCCAGTTAAAAAAGGGATCACTATAATGAAAATGTTTTAAGAAAGGGATAACTTTCTAATGTGTTACTAGCTCTGTGGGTGTCTTTTTTTTTTAATGCAAACCCCAGAAAACAAGTCATGAGGAAATCTTATATAATGCATGGGAATTCACTAAAAGTAATTTCTCTTTTGGTACTGCCATCAGGTTACAGCTTCCTCAAAGAAGGAAATAAAAAGTCTGTATGAAGAAGGTAAAAACTTTCGTACCATCGCACTGGTAGTTAGGTGTTAGTTACGTGCTGTACAGTTACATACCCACTGTAATCGAGGTAATCCTAGGGTGATTGGGTGGATGACAGGATAACCAGTGGGCTATATAGATTATATCCATTTTTTACATTGTGGTTGCTGGTTCAAATCTAGCCCATGTCACGGCTGTTTGGTATAACCTAAAAATGAGATTGTGGTTTGAGTCCAGGCACTAGCCGTCAGGTTGCTGCATCTAACCTGTCACCCTTGTTGACATGGTGAGGTCAAGGTTTAAAATGGGCAAACAGGTTCTCCATTCAGATAAGCATTGTCCTTGCCTTGGTGGTTGGCTTTGCTCTGCATTTTTTGTTGATTAAAAAAAAGACTGCTTAATTTTCTTTGGCAATGCAGCAGCTATTACAAATGTTAAATGTGTTTAAATGTATCATATAAAAAAAAGATGACAAAAAGGGGGGGAAAGGAAGGAAATTCCTGAGATAAAGTGAAGCTAACTTGTGCATGTTGTGCCAGTCTTGAGAGTTAAGTGGAGAGTGGTTATTTTAGGCTTGATTCTCTCCCCATCTTTCCTCCCATCTAAGTCAGCAGAAAGTCAAGAGAGCTGAAGTAAGCCCTTTCTCCCCTGCTTTCTGTCAGTGGACAACCCAACTTGTAAGCTGTATGGTCCAATACTGCAAAGTCCTTTCTCACACGTGTGACCCTTACAAGAGAACTAATCATGTGAATGAGGAATACTTTTGGGAAGGAGGATAGGACTGGATCCCCGTAGTGTCAAGGGTATTTAATACTTAATTACTTTATGGTAGTTCTTTGAAACCTATTATTAGTTTGATGGTTAAATTGCCTCTCTTACCTGCCATTCTGTCGGATCCTAATTTTTAAAAGTTCAAGTACCCAGGAAGGAGGTGTGCCTTCCCTCTGATGTTGTGCAGTTTAGTTACTGCTGAAATTATTTGTCAGTTAGATGAGATGTTTGCCACTTACTACCTGTTGATTGTGATCTGCTATTTCTTTTCATTTACTTCTGGATAGGAAAAAATAACAGATGAGTAAATAGTCAGAGTTGTGATAGAAACTAATTTGAACAAATTATATACCATTTTCTTTCAAATGATGAAAGAGTCACAGTTGTTAAAGCATTTTCTAGGAGAACCGTTCACCCATTGCCCTCCAACAATCAAGTCCCCTTTAATGGTCACACTTGATATAGTATGACAGTAGTTACAAGGAAGGTTTGATTATTAGCTCTGTAGGTTAACGTTCTTCCTGGCATTGCACAAATACCAAAGAATGGATTGTGCAGGGAATTTCTTCTCTGAGGCAAGTAAAATAGTCTCCTAGCTTTCTCCTTAAGATTGGATAAGGGACCCATCTAATGTGTCAACCACTTTGGCAGAACGGTGAGATTCCTTCTTCTTGACCTGGTGGTTAGCAGTAGATACTAAGGAGATGTGAGCCTTTCTGAAGGAGAAATAATGACTCTTCTGAAATGCTTTGGCCCCCTTTCCTCCTGTGTGTCTCAGCAGGACAGACCCTGGTTCTTTCATTCCACTCTTACTGCTTTAGCGCTCTTGTGTTGTCCAAGTTTTCTTTTGGCAAGCCAGGATAGGTTTATCCTTTATGTTTAGAGTCTTTAGATAAGTAGTAAAGCAGGAGTACATTCTTCCTCCCCTTAACATTTTTTATTCTTTTGTATTATATTCATCATTTCACCTTTAAAGTGTCTGGGAGGGCTGAATTTCTTAAGGGAGCACTAATGAGATTCGGAGTCTTTCGATTCTTTGTCATTTTTTTGAATCTTGCATGTATTGTAAACTGAACTTTGTTATTGTCTAAATGTTGTTACTGTCTAATGGCTTCAGACTTATTTGGTGAAGTGAGTAGAGTCTAAAGGGTGGTGCTGGGACATATATGTTTCAAAAAGCTCCCTCACAGATTATGATTCTTTTTGGCCGTCTTCGAAGACGAGACAAAACAGTAGGACATCAGGGACAAGCTAGATGATGCTACGAGGTCGAGATTTAGGCATGCGGGTGTTACCCATGTTGTGTCCTTTAGGCAGATTAGGGAATTTCAGTCTGTAGGACTGTCCATTTGGCACTCTTGAAATATATTAAATTTAATATAACGCCGAAAAGGAGAAATGTAAGTCATTGACACATGTGTATTGCTTTTACGGCATTTCATATGCCACACCAAACTGTCCCTGCAACATTCTCTCATAAGTCACAACTTCATGAATCCAGGCTCTTGATACTTTATGGACTGGTAGGGGTTTTTTAAAACCATATCTGTGTTTTTAATTATTATTAACACTCTTTGAGATGACTTAAAAGATATTTTCACAATTATAAACGGTTATAATAGGAAAAATATCTGTAGCACGGCATGTTCAGAAACCAAAAGATGTGACCTTAAGATTAGAAAGTAGGAGTAAATATAGAATTTGGGCAGAAATATTTTAGACAAAAAAAATTTTGAGGGGAAAGAAGAAAAGGCTGTAAGTGAATTAAAGGGATTATTTACTTTGAAGGATTTGCCTGTACATACAGTACATCTTTAACAACATTTCCTATCACTGGTGTCCTGTTCCTTTCCCCATCATTTCTGTTCTTTTGCTAGGTACACCCACTTGTTACATTTTGTATTAAATTAGATGGTAGTCTATTTTGGGCTGCTTCTGTCTCTTACAGTATATTTGCCTACAGATCCTAATCTTACTATGGCCTGCAGGTATTATTGTAACAATAATGATTGTGACAATAATCATTGCAACTGGAGAGGGAGACTGAGATATTTGGTATAGAGATCAAAGACAATTATTAAGATCAACCAAAGGTGAAGCGAGCACATTGGGCCAGGTGCTTTTCCCCTCTTCCTAAAATCTGTTTCATTGACTGAAATTAGTATTCCATTATCTGTGCGTATAAGACTATGAAGGAGAGTTATGTAAGTATCTGAGGAGCCCGCTCCTGCAATTGTTCAGTGGCAGTGTTGCTGTCGGCATTCCTAGGAGCCAGATCAGCCCCCTGTCTCCCTATTTGACCTTTTCTGTTTAAGCAAATAGTAATATTATGTAAATATTTCTTTTGAAGGCCAGCAGTGCATGGAAGAATGCCGTTTCTGAAACCTATCCTTCTGCCTAACTCTCTAATAGGCTTTTAGAGTCTGGTTATTAAAGCTGAATTCCAGGTAACTGTGAAAATCACCAATGTGCTAAATTATTTTACTAGTGACCAGGAAACAACCCAGAAATAATAATTCCTTCCTCAACACATTTTAAGTCTTCTTGTTAGTTAAAAACCATGGGCCACATTCTCTTTTTGGGTACATGTGGACACTCCCAGCAGTATTTTGTTTTGGGAGGGAGCAGATTCTCATCTTGCAGCATTGCGGGTGTATTTTCAGTGTTTGATTAGATCCATAGGACCAAATCCTGAGGTCCTTGCATAGGCATTAGACCCATTGCTTTAATGGGAGTCCTGCCTGAGAGGAAAAAAAGTGTTTTACCAGTTACTTCAGAGGGTCAAGCCTAGGAATCGCTTTTTGTCCAGGTCATTAGTGACAGTGAGCTTTGTGATCCCAACGTGGTGCACAATGGTAATCGTCAGCCTTTCACACATGACAAAACTGAACTCTTCTGCACCATCATCAGTTAATGCTAAGGAGTGACTGAGGCAGTGCCGGATTATGACATGCAGAGGCCATAACTATGTCCATTTTAAGATGTCCCATATGATAAAAATAATTCAATGTATGTATATTTTTGTCATATTAAAATGAAAATGTCCATATTTAGAGAAAGTGTGCAATTAAAGAATTTTTTTTTGCAAAAATCTTGTTGGTCTAATAAAGGATATCTCTACTACGAGTCTTGATTGCCATATTTAGAGACTCATTTGCCCATATCGCCTTTATCTCCTTTATTTACCAACTGATTATTATAAAACTTGATATTGAGACAGGTTTTTTTTCTTACTTAGAGGCCCCTCATACTATGAGGCCCTAAACTGTAGTGTAAGTAGCTTAAGCCTAAGTCTGGCACTGGGCTGAGAACTGAAATAGCAGTGAGGGCTGCAGATCGGGATGGAGGGAATTGGCAAATCTTTTTG